CCCCCGCTGCCCCCCCAGCCGCTCGGCGCTTTGCTTTGTGTCGCTGAGTTGCAAGGCCGGCGCCTTGCCGGGAGAGGTTATTAAAGTTCTCCTCGGGTCATCGCTGAGAGATGAGAATGAACAGAGTCTTCCCGCAGATCTCAGCGATGGTCTTTCTACACTCTCAGCCTGCCAGCTGCTACTTGCTTGGCCTCTCCGAGAGGGAAGAAGTACGACTTGCAAGCGAAATCAGACATAAAAAGGAAAGAATAGATATCGCGTGCTGAAAAGTCTCGGGGGGGCGGCCGTGTTAGTCTGTATCGTCGGCAAAAACAACAAGGAGTCGTGTGGCACTTTAGAAACGAACCAGCTTATTAGAGTGGGAGCTTTCGTGGGTAAAACCCACTTCCTCAGACGCGTGCAACCATGGAAAACTGCTCGGGGCCTCATCACCTCCTGGTTTACACTTGGGGGAACCAACAGCTGCCTGAGGGATGTGCTCGGAGGTTCGATCCCTCGTGAAGCTGGACTGGACAGCGCGACAATACTTTCCCTTCCGATGACAAGCAGCTTGGTTTTCAGTCCGATTTTTACATGTTCCCGTCTGTGTCTGTCTCTGGTGTAAGTTACAGCAAAGGCTCGGTTACCTGGCGCTCCGGTAACCAGGGCGCCCAGTTAACCAGCATTTTGGATCTCTCCCAATGCAAATCTTCAGTCTAATATGGGGGCGGGGAATCTTTTTTGGGCCAGGGGCTGTTGGCCCACAGAAAAAATCAGTCGAGGGTTGCACACAAGTAAGAAACAAAACAAAACAAACAAACGCTCACTGACGTGGCCCCCGACTGAGGAGGAGAAAGACACTCGCCACATTCCCCTCCCACACCAGAGCCTGGGGGGCCCAGGCTAGTGGATTTTGTGTGCTCCCGCCCCGCTGTGGGTGGTAGGGGAGCTGGAGCACCAGCGTGGGCTCCCCAATGCTGGGGGGGGGCCCTGAGCCTCAGGGGTCGGATCCAGGCAAGCCACGGACCACGTCTGGCCCCTGGGCCTTCGGTTCCCCACCCCTGAGCTAGTAATGGGATTCGTTTCCCGCCCAGCACATTTCTGCCATTGTACGTTCTGTTCTCTGCTTTCGTGCGAGAGCCAGAAGACACATCAGCGAGCTGAAGCCAGGGGTTAATTCACAAAAGCAGCATCCAGGGTGTGTCCGAGTCGTTGCAGATTTCACCCAGTCTCTGCGCCTCTGACATCGGCAACGATCAATGCGGATACCGACCCCGAAACACGGTGGGATCGCCCAGTCTCTACGCCTCCGACATCGGTAACGATCGATGCGGATACCGACCCCGAAACACGGTGGGATCCGGACGTGATCCCCGGCTCACACATTCAATCCGGTTCGGTCTAGTTTTAGTGTGAACGTATTGGGAGTGATCTGCGTGTGCGTGATGCGCTGCCCGTCGTGATAGGTCGTGTGAGGAGACCCACTGCGGTGTGGAAAACTGTCCGTGTGCTCCAAGAAACCAGCCGCTCTGCGGTGGTTACGGTAATATAAAACCAAAGCAAAGTGTCGCCGTCCTAAAATGCCCTCCGGCATCCTTCGGTTTCCACTGCGTGCGTTTGCTTTGCCACAGGAGACGGAGGGGATATTTGCAGGCCGTGTGGACATAACGCTCGTTATAGTCAGTCCTGTTATTGCCACGTGGTCCTCTCCTCCGGTTCCCCCTTCTCTGCCGTGTGGTCTTTGGCCCCTCCCCCTCGGGCCATGCTGAATGCATTCCTTTGACTACAGTGCTAACTGCTGGGAAAACAATGTGTTGGGGTGTTACGTAGTGGGGGGTACCTTGCTGGCTGCTATGCTGGGCAGTGGGTTGTGAGTGACCTCCGCTGGCTGTAGCATGGCCCAGCAGGGCAGGGGATGAGTCTCTCAACCTGCAAAGAGGGTCTCTCAACCTGTCTGACCAGCTACCCCCCAGGGAGAGAAACAAAGGAAGGTGGATGCTGCCCTGGCTGGGGGGACAGGGCTGGAAAAGAGTTGGTTAGTTTCTGTCTGGGAAGCAGGGGAGAAGAAGCTAGGGAGGGGGCTGAGATTGTAGGGCCCAGCCACCCCCCCATCTCAAGAGGGGACACTGAGGCCTCCTAGCCCCAGTTCCTGTAACCAGATACAAAGGCAGTGAGTGTTGGGGGAAGGGTCAGTTTTCTGGCTGGGAAACATGAAGGGAACAGACTAAGCTGAGGGTTGAGGGGGCGATGGATCCCCACCTAACCCAAGGGGTCTGAGGCACCCTGGCCCTAATGACTGTAACCACATCACGTCTGTGCTGTGGTGTATCCTGGAGAAGCAATAAACCCCCTCTGTTCTACTGGATGGTGGAGTCTGTTCGTGCCATTACGGGGGTGCAGGAGACGGGAAAAACCCGACACGCCGTCACATGGGGTTTTTTCTTCTTCTTGGGGAGGGAAGGTGCGACGGCGCGTTGGGGTTTTCCCGTCTCCTGCACCCCCGTAATGGCACGGACAGACTCCACCAGCCAGTAGAATAGAGGGAGTTTATTGCTTCTCCAGGATACAGCACAGCACAGATGGAATCTGGTTCCAGGGCAGGCCTAGGATGCCTCAGCCCCCCTTGAGATGGGGGAGACTGGGCCCCTAAATTCCAGCCCCTTCCCTAGGCTGTCTCCTCCATGCTCCCAGGCAGCAACTAAAACTCTCTTCCAGCCCTGCCCCCCGCCAGGGGCGGCATCCCCCTTCCTTTGTTCCTCTCCCTGGGGGGTAGCCGGTCGGACAGGTTGAGAGACCCTGGCCTAGTGACCCATCCCCTGTCCTGCTGGGCCGTGCTACAGCCAGCAGCCAGTGGGGGTCACCCACAGCCCCAGCCTAGCAACCAGCAAGGTACCAACACTGCGTCACAGAAGGCAAGGACGGGAGGGTGGTTCAGCCCTCCCCAGCTAAGCAGTGTCTGTTTCCTCCAGACCTGAAGGCTGCTCTGTTAGAACCAGAGTCTCTTTCCCATGGCCTCCAAAGGGCTTTGCTGCTAAAGTCTGACTGCCGAATGGATCTGCGCTTCCCTTCCAGAAGAGTGAGGGGGGATTTGGGAGCAGCCTGCAGGGGAGTCCAAAGAGGAGGGAGAGAGGCTGGTCTCAGCTGTGGCAGACCGAGGAGCAATGGGCTCAAGTTGCAGGGGGGGAGGTCTAGGTTGGAGATTAGGAGAAACGATTTCCCTAGGAGGGTGGGGAAGCGCTGGGCTGGGGTCCCTAGGGAGGGGGTGGAATCTCCATCCCTAGGGGTGTTTAAGTCTCAGCTTGACCAAGCCCTGGCTGGGATGATGGAGTTGGGGTTGGTCCTGCTTTGGGCCGGGGGCTGGACTCGATGACTCCCGAGGGCTCTTGCAAGCCTAGGGTTCTGTGAGTCATTCCCCCCTCTGGCTGATTTGGAAAGCTAGCTGTCGAAAACGCCACGTGGCATGGTTTTCATAGGACTCTGGGTGCCAAGGACTGGCTATCGACCAATCGATTGTGTATGTTCAGGACCACCCCGGGGGGAGTGGTTAAAAACAGGGGATTGGAAGGGCTCCTGGCTTCTCGCCTCCGAGCTGTAATGCTGATTTGTTGTGTGTCTGTGAGCGAGTCTCTTAGCCTCTCTGTGCCTCAGTTTACCCACCTGTAAAATGTAGGGGTGGTACCAGCTGGTCATGGTTAGTCCCTACGCTGCCTCTTATTGGAACCTTTAAAACATCCCATTGTTCGGCCAGGGCAGTGCGCCTACGTAGAAACATTGTCAAAGAGCCCACTTGACACTATCTAAAGTCAGGCTATCTAGGCACCTGACTTTATTAGAGTAAAAGCAGGTCAGGAGAGCTCACTAGCCAGCTGGCTTAGGAGCTAATATTCAGCATCTGCAGAGTTACTGGCTTTGGGGGTCTCCTTTGCACAGGCACAATGTGCCCAGGAAAGCTATTTTGGCTTGTGGGCTCTCTGGGCCGGCTATGTCCCGCTGAGTCTTTCCCGCGACTTCTGTCATGCAAGAGTTGCTGAAGCCGCTGGCGTTACTCTGAACGCCTAGCCGTGCTTTGTTCATTCTGACAGCCAGGGCCCGTTTCCAGCCCGTCGACATGGCCAGGCGGCGCTCCGGACCCGAATATTGGTTCCTCAGCATTGTGGTAAGTTTTACACGAACTTGATTGCTTTGAGTAGTTGGATAATTTGAATTTTTAAGAATCAGGAACTGTCCCAGCACACTTCCCTAGCAGCCAGGCCACACGGAGCCTGAGTCTCAAAAGAGGCCATGCCGAGGGACATTGGAATAACCCTCCTCTAAAAATGAAATGAACGAACCCTTCTGATCATCCAAAGTATTTAGTCATTGACGTGGGTGGCTACCCAGAAGAGATTCCAATGCCACCCAGCTGATTAACAGAGCACTCACAGCTGGCAGCAACCGGCAACATGTGCTCCTATGGGTGGTGCACTTCTGCACACGTCAGTGCATCTAACACAATGTATTCTGCACGTTGGTGGAAAAATTAGAGGGAACATTGGCTCCATCTTGTAGTGTTTCAGCAAGACGTGGGATTTCATTTGGCAGATCCAGGGACTTGAATAATAACCCTTTGCGTCTAGAGCCTCAGCAGTGGCGAGTGTGATGTTTCTGGTTTATTGATCCTCCCATGTCACTGTGCAGAGGAGAGTATTTTGCTATGAAATGTTTATTTTCAGAGGTTCCTTGCACACATGTCCACATACCCAGGAAAAGTTACTAGAATAGGGCAGCGTGAGCAGACACCAGGCTCCAAGGCTTAAACAGGGAACTAAGCAGTAAACGTGCCCCTCTTTGTTCATCACCTAAACTTTGCTCCCGCCGGTTGGTGTTCTCCCTTGCAGGTTGGTAGCCTGTGCAGAACCCTCTTAGACTCTGCTGCCCTCGCTCATAATCACACTTCGAAAGGTTAGTGTCCTAAGCAGCACTTGGTTTGTATGAGTAATGTCCAGCACAGACTCTATGAAAATGTTTAGGATTGAAGAGCTAATGTTTCTCTCTCTCCCCCTCCGGTCACTACCACTGCCTTTCTATTGGCTGTAAATTGCAACCAACGTTGTTTGGACCCAAATTTGATTGTGGGTGTTAATCTGTGTAAGCAAACTCCCAGGTTAGCAGGTGAAAATCAGGTAAGCGCTGCCTGACTGCTGGACTGCGTCTAGTTTTTCCGCAAAAGCTTGCCAGCTGTCTACATGGACCGCTAGAATTTCTGCAAGAACACGGACGATCTCATGTAAGATTGTCAGTGTTCCTGAGGAAATGCTATGCTGCTCCCGTTCGGGCAAAAGCTTTTGTGCAAGAGGGCCAGTGTACACAGCACAGGACTGTTTTGCGCAAAAAAGCCCCGATGGTGAAAATGGCAATCAGGGCTTTCTTGCGTAAAACCGCGTCTAGATTGGCACGGACGCTTTTCTGCAAAACGTGCTTTTGTGGAAAAGCGTCCGTGCCAATCTAGATGCTCTTTTCCGCAAATGCTTTTAACAGAAAACTTTTCTGTTAAAAGCATTTGCGGAAAATCATGCCAGTCTAGACGTAACCCTCATGTTTGTGCCCCTGATGCATTTGTGGGTGTAGACCACGTGGGAGCAATTTTATGAGTGGAAATTGCAGGTGTGGAAAGTGGGGGAGTGGAAGAATGGGCCCCAAGCTCTGTCCTTCAGCGAGTGTGAATAAAAAGTCTGAAAGGTGTCGGCCTCCGGGGTACGGCAGTGCATTTGTTGTGTCCTGATGTTGGTTCAGGTGTTTCATATGGCCACATAGGAGGCAAGGGCTGGACGTGGGGGAAGCCAACACTTCCAAGCACACACGCTGAAGGGCAGCTCTCTATGTCCCTCATCCTAGGCCCAAGGCATCCTGCTAAAGTCTGTCCCTTCACACTGCGGGGGAGAGAGTCGGCCTTGGATTGTCCCAGGGCTGTCTCACCCACGTTTATCGGTGAGCGGCTGCTCTGCCGTGTGAGACTGCCCCCCGGTGGCGCGAGTGGGTGTGTGTGTGCCATTCGTATTAATGAGGCTGTTGGCGGGGAGTCGGCC